GCAGCCTATCAGTAACTTCCCGGTGCAGGACGGAGTTGTTTGCAAATAATACCTCACCTCTTGTTGCTGGGAGGGTTCGTGAGACGGCTTGGCCAAGACGTATTTTTAGGATTTATCTTGCCGCATTCTCTTGAAAGGGGATATAAAGGAATGGCGTTTTCTTCCCAACTGTAATTGTCCTGTGTTTTACTCGCTTCGCAACAATATTCCTGGCGATGCATTTCTCAGAATGCCCGTTGTCGTTAAGCGGGTCATGAATTTTCTTTAGCTCCTCCTCAATAATGTCTGCCGAGCAAATTTCTCTAGCCGTCTGCGCTAAGCTTACGTTTCTATTGTGGAAAAACAGCTAAAGTTCTACATTCTCCCGACCAAACGCGCCTTCGGATGTCACCATCAGGTTGTTTACTTAGGAGGACGTCCAAGAAAGAAAGCGAACCTGCCGTTTCCACTTCCAACTTGACTTGTAATGCACGAAGGTGTGAGATTAACAGCATGTAAGGCTGCATCTACTACGATATAGTTTTCGGCGATGGCACCGATGTCATCAACGTAGCGTGCGTGGTATGTTAACTTATTGAGCTGATTGCTTAGTTAAACTTTTCACCTACTGCGCATTAGCTAAGAGGGATCCTAGATGCTAACCCATAGCAATACCGTCTTGTTGTCTGTAGAGTTGGCTGTCGAAAAGACACTGCGCGTTTAATGTACATCTAGGTTATAATTACTTTATTGCAATAGTCGGTATTCTTATTTCCGGCTGATTTTCAATAGGAATTTGCAAGTGAAATTGACAGTCTCAATGATCCGGCCGTCTATAAACAGGGACATGACATCTAAAGAGAACACCATCATACGCTTTACCTTCATGGATTTGGAGTCGTCGATAAATAAGAAACATATTTCGATAGCTACAGTAGATTATATATCTGATGAAAGGTGAAAAGCAAAATTTGAGTGGGTGATTCAAAAGACATTTGAGGTTATTTATTTTGTTCATTGAAGTGTTCATTGAGGTGCAAAATGATGTTAAGTAGTAAAGATATCGGTTCAGATCAGTAAACTGGATGCGAAAAGGGGCGATAAGGGGACCAAATCCAACATTTGTTGATATCCAAGGAATTTCCTACGCTATTAAACGCCGCGAAAAAAACTCCTTGTTGTTGGGTGTTGCAAAACAAAGGAACACTAATAAAATGCGGAAACGTTTTAATTATATATGTTCAGAGAAATAAAATTTTGTTTTGCGTTCATGAAATTAAAGTTAGTGCAATTATGAGATTTCGCATCATTTTGTGTAAAAAAGAATAAAAGAAGTTTTAAAAATTCCATTTTGCAAATGTGCCAAGTTTTGTGCCATCAAAATGAGTAATTGACGTATAAGGTTGCTAGTTGTTATACCCCACCTTAAATGTATATTGTATATTTGAAGGATTGCAGGTAAGGAATACATGAGGAATTTATTCGTATAAAGTAACCAAATCAATTGTACAGTCAATACAAAGTTAAAGGCAATTAACAAAACACATATTTGAGTGAGTTGTTGCGGGACATTGAGAAATAGTTTTCTCAAAATCGCCGTTGATGTTATTTCCACTCTGCTCTGCTTCTTTCCTGATGTAGAACTGAGCCTACAAGTAACCAAATATACTGAAAACTCTTCCAGTTTAAATATAAAAGTAAGCTCTTTCATTTATAGCAGATGTGTCCATAATTTTTAGGGAAATCAAAAAGCTGGCCAAAATTTCCCCTTCTGATCTTGACTTAATCTTCAAAAAAAGTACGTTGATGTCCGACGCCAAAATATATAACTGAAGCTCTTTTTCAAGAGGTAACTTGTTATATAAAATTTTTACATCAATCTTAGGCAATGAGTCGACATGTTTGGGTGGTTCTGAAACCAATACAACCGCAGACAGTTGCATAATAAAAGATTTTTAAAAGTTCGCTGTTCAGGTAAATTCTTTTAAGATATATCTTATTTTGAAGGTTTTGCTAAGCACGTAGAGTACAATCATTATTTATGGTCAATCGACTGAAGTCAGTGAAAATCGTAAAGTCTTAATTAACGTTTCAAGGAAAATCTGAACCTCTTTGTAATCGAAATCCCAAAGAATGTGGCAGAAGGCAATTACTCTTAGTGTACAAAAAATTGTACGTTTAAAATTGCACCTGATAATTCGATTTAAATTTATTACTCACTGACCGGCATGTCCACACGTGAGCTTAGGAAATATATTACTCCTGTCATCTCCCAATGGGCCAAATCAGGTGAAAGTGTGGTTGTCTAAGTCCTGCATATCACAGACAACGCATATACGAAACACCTAGTAGCAATTCTCGCGAAAAAGTGTTGGAATACATACCCGAAATTTGGGCTGTTCGGTAACAGCTACATATTACATTGCACGTAATACGGAAGCATATAGATCCAAAACACTTACAAAAGGAATATTCTCCAACGTAATTTTACCTGTGCTGTTTTATTCACACGGTGGTTTTGCTTGAACAGGCTTCGTCTAAATGTAAAACTTAAGTTTACCTTGTACGTCCGATTTACTCGTCTTTGGAATTTTCCACTTTGCTAAAAAAGCTGGTATTTCTATAAAATTTTATATTCCTTCATAAATCACAATCTGCCCTATTTTGAAGAACGACCATTACCTTATTGCTGTAAGAGTTTGGAGGCCGCAGCTTGGACTGCTTTTGTGTAACAAAGACTTACTTCTAAAAATCTCTGGATTTAATGAGTTAGCCAACCTACTGTATATGAACAGCAACGGTTTATGTGTTTTTCATCTGAAACTTAGTAAGTAACATTACTATTCGCCTTGCAACATATGCTTGTACGTGTGAAAGCTCGCATCGCAATCAACCAAGATGTGTCAGTCCTGAAACAGATTGGTGTAAGATTACATAATACTAATTATATGTATCCCTTTTTTCCCTCGATTGTTTGAACCCAACTAATACCAGCCAGAAGTAATTTTTACGAACGACGCCACTTTAAGTGTGCGGAGACTATGTTAATAGTGGCAGTTTTTACGAATGCGTTTCGAAATTTTCATTATGCCTTGGCATGTCAACAATACGCTTTTCAATAGCCTTGTGTAGTATCCTCACTGTACATCATAAACGGGTCGCGTAGTAAATACGCTGGATCAACGAGGGGACCAGATCAGGGTACGGCAGGCGTTAATCGGGTTGCGCTCTCATAACAAACACTGAACATGGGGGGAGGGGGCGTTCGTGACACGTGTAAGCGCAGGCTCACCCCGCACCAACCACCCATGCCCGAACCCTCCCCGGTCTTTTTGACTCTGTCTCAACACTGGAGGGGGGGGAGGGGAGGGGAGGGGAAGAGAGTGTGTTATATACAGCGCTAGACAATTATCATTTAAAAATAATCCACGCGCAAGTTACTGTCCCTGGTAGATCTCAGCGAAATAAACGGTCGAACTCTAGCATTACCCTCACCATTGATTGAGACACAGTGTACCGTTTTTACATTGGTGAGAGAAGAGCCAAGCAGTTAAACAGAGTAATGTTTCCCGACTTTTCGTACATTTCGGATGCTTTGCGTGCTTATCTCCAGTCTTTTTCGAGTGGGACCTCGAGCAGTCTGTTCTGTTGAAAATTGCCGCACCTGCGAACGTTAAGCTTATTTTATGAGATGACGGTGGAGAGGCTGTTGCTGCTGTTGCAAGTGGGTGAATTGTTGACTTCGCGACCGTCTGATCCTCGAATCTATCTTTTGATCTAGCACCAAAGAGGAATAAGCTGTGTAATTTCCCCTGTGGTGTTTCATAAGCACAATCCGAACTTGAGAGTTGCAGGCATGAGCAGTCTGGCCTCTGATCACGACCCCCTGTTTTACCTGCTTGTTTTATCGTCTACCTATACAAATGATGACGTGCTTACCTCTACAAGTGATTATTTTCTTGCTGTTTTGCCCTCCCTGACACAGCAATATGAAAGAAATTCTAACATCCGCGAGTGCCGCAATCCTATCGCTGATGAAAACTTCCGAATTCTTGCCCTTCAGTTCGTTTCTTATCCCAAACGAGTGAGTATTCTGCAGACGGGTGTTGCTCCCGCCTTTTGTCTTGTCTTTTTTATCTTGGCATTCTGTAAAAGCAGCATCAACGTCAGTATTTTCGCTATCACCCTACAACCCCTACCATAACCACCAACACAATTCTCGTCAATGTCAGCTCCTAACCTACTAATCATCCTTTTCATGAAGTTGCAGTAAACATGATGCAAAAGCCTGTTGTTTGATGCATTCTGCACATAGCTACCTTATTTATGTTACTGTATCTTGTTCGTCACCTATCCCAACCCTTATCAGCCGTGCCTTATTCACCTTTCAGGCCCGAGAACTTTTGCGTCAAACAAGCGCCCCTCGGTGTCTGATATCCCGCCTCTGTCAGACATTTTCCGCCAAAGCGAAATCGCTTCCTGGCTTCTATGAAACTAAGTATCCTTGCAAGAGCCTTGCCGAACTTTTCCATCCCGAGTGCACATTCCAGTCCTTTCCTTCAACCCTACAAAACCGCTTGCTGGCGCTTCGGACTGCTAATCGAGAGGCCTGGCGTCGGGCGCATGAGTACGTGCGCGTCGCCGCGGCATCGACCGATGGGAACAGCCCGACTAGGCCTCGCTATCCGCCTATGGCACTCAATGGGTTGCAATCCGATTTAGATTCTGAAAGTATTATACTCCGTTTTCTTAGTGGCTTACTGTGCATGAAACCACTAGCTGGGAAAAGCGAGGGCTGTCCCGAAGGCTGGTGGGATGAGGTCTCGAGAGCGAAGTTTTTGGACTACTTCCGCTGCCTCCTCGAAATCCTCAGCTACATGCAGGTTGGTGCCTGTGCTGTTAGCGCAACTTTTGGTCAAAACAACTACTACATTTTCACGATCTGCATGCTTTTAATGACAGATATATCCTCAAAATACTTGCCGACAAGGCAGGAGACAGTGAAAGAAATATTGCCGGATAATTTACCATTCTCTGCCAGCTGTGCATAATCCCCGGCCGTGAAAACTTCAGTGTTTGATTCCGAACTCCTGAATAGCCAGCTGGTTAAGCCGAACAGTTATCTAATAAGAAATATGTTTGAATTTCTGCTGACTGCGATCGAGACTGTGCATTTGCATGGAACAGTAAGCGTGTCGCTCAATGATCGGATGAGAAATTAAAATATCCAGCCTGGATTCAAACTTTGTTCCCCTAGGGGTTGCTTATGATTGACGCAGACCAACTAAAATGGGTCCTAAGTCACACTTTCCCAGCTCTAAGTATTTCTTGGTCTTAGATGGCTCGGGGTTCTCGTGTAAAATACATTCTTGCATTTTACGTTCCTTAATTAAATTAGATAGTTGAATGTCACCCCGTTTAAATGCTTTCGGCCCCAAAGGATATGAATTCCATACAACGAGACATCGAATGGGAACCAAGGTGGAAGTTAGATTGCGCTTGCGACAAGCTCCAACGTCTTCATATTATCATCTGGCGGTCTGCCCAACTTGCTAGCACCGATCGCACGCTCCTCCTCGCTGCCATAAAGGAAACTCGAGAGGTGAGTTTATTTTACAATTTATCATCTTGGATCATATGAGAGTTAATCTTCAGTAGATAAGCGTACAACGAGTTCATTTATAGTTACTTTTTGCATATTATTTTTTGTCGTTCCCAGGCCTTTGAACAACGCGTTGGCGTTATAGATCGTTGTTTCCGAGTGGAACCTTCTACGCGCACGCAGGGAGGTAGCCTCGTCAGACCGCAGGACAAATACATTACAAGTATTGCCTTCCAAGCTCTGGGAGCTACGTCTGAAATCTACGAGTACGACGTGTCAATCATGAAAGTGAGCATCTTTCAGCCGCTGCCTCGGCTATTGGCAGCCCTTTACGGACATGGTATTGAAGTGGGTCTTCGCCTTGACCTCCTTGGTCTGGTTGATGAGGTCTGTTGCCGTGAGGATTCACCCTGGATTACTGAATGCACTTTTGACTTCGTGAACAGCTTCATTTTTTCACTTATTACAGGGCTTTGCTAATTTGGTTATCGAGAGGCCACTGCAAATGGTCGCTTTTTTTGCTCAGTGCTCAGCCAACCTATGGCTGCCAAACAACAAGAACGTCATTGAAAAACTCGTGAGTGAGCACTCTCTAAGTAGTATATGCTTAACTTAGTATTGATAAGATCCCCAGCCTTACAGTCCTCACATTTTCTCGATTATAAAAACAGATGTTCGAGATATCTACAAAGTTGTCCGTGGAAATATTGGGACGCGACTATCAACTTCTCCAGCAAGCGGCCGCAGTTCTGCCTCCGGACGAGTTAATTGTTCGCATGGTGCACAAACTCAATCTTAAGGATTATCTACGGTAAACTGATAGGCTGACCCTTCTTCTAATTTCGACTGATGGGTTACTTGTTGTTGTTGGTGAAGTAAAAGTCTCTCACATTTTGATTGTCTTTGCTTCTCCGATTGTGATAACGTCACTTATTCTGTAGGGTGACTTGCCGCGGGCTTTTTTTTGCAGTTTGTCGCCGATTTTTCCTTTATTAGGAGGTTTGGTAGATTTGCTAAATTTGAGTTGACTCAACTCTCCGTTGGCTTTCAGTAAAGGACTTCTTTACTACGCGGGTTCAAATCCCACCGAACGCCTCGAGTTTTTCACAATTGAGTCAACTCAGATTTTTCCTTTATTTATGTTCACCGTGTCGCACTACCGCTATAACTTGGGACCTTTTATTCTTAAGTGAGTTGCCTAACGAACGGCTGATACTGTTCCGTTGTTCCTGAGGACATACTAGCCAGAATCGAGGGCCTGTCTATTTAACAGGAAGCCTTCGCTAAAGACCGCCTAATATGGACGCACCCAGTAGCCGGTACATAAGCGAGCGAGCATGTCTTCTACTGCACACAGTATGGCTGTCATCATACCATGTTTTAACGAAGGGTGTCGTGCAGATTTGAATAATTTATTTGACTCGATTGTGAAGAACCCGGTGGCCTTAGTGGGATGCAAACCCACGACAACAAGGAGAAGGCTTTAATACAACCAGTACTCCAGCCAATTGAGCTACAAAGCCCCCACGGGAGCCGTGTGATAAATTATTCGTCCACCCCACTGTAACGTATGGTTTCCACTTCTTCTGATGCAGTAAACTGACTTCCTAGGCAGGATGTTCTAAACAATCAGTTTTTAATCCACCAGGTGACTACCAGGCACACTTTATACTTAAAGGGTTTGACAGATTGGAATAACGCATTTGACTTGAGTATGGGGCCTCTTATCTCAGCTGCCTAGAGCACTGGTTCTGCTAAAGATCTCCCCTTGCTGGCGTGGGTTCCAATTTCACTGAGTCCGCGACGATTACCACGTTTTGTTATGGTGTGCAACCTGACTCCCTTGAGCGGAAACGTTCCCATTCTTAGTATGCTAGGGGCGCTGGCTGTGTTCCCGAATATTTCTGGGCACCTACTATGGATGTGGATGAGTGAGAGTAAATAGTGGTATAATAGCAGCGCAAAAGACTACTATAACACCATGTGACATGGCGGAACCTGCGATATTAATTAATAACGTCTCGTTAACAATGACATAAGACGGCCTGATGGATAGAGTTGAGGGTGTGGAAACCAAGGAAAGCCCTTATGTGCTCGTACCACCACTATCAATAATACTACCAGCATCATTAATATTGTCCTATTCTTGTTGCACTGACATAGACTGTCCTACTATACCTACTTTATACTGTATTGTCGTACTACCACAGATAGATAGTATAGTAGGCCTAAATGTAGTCTTTAGACGGAAAACTGCTCTGCATAGGGGCATGGTAGGTCCTGTGCATTACTTTACAAACGCTCTACTATTATCATCCAAATTCTAATCACTATTATCTCACACAGATTGGCAGTGCATACTGGGTGCCACTTCTTAAAAAGCACACACAGGCAGTACTTATAGTATACTGTCTATTGGCTTTAGTAAGCATGATTATTATAAAATTGGAACTTTTAGCATAGACACTTACCTATAGCAGCAGTATCTTAGTCCGTACAGCTTGATGGATAGAGTTGAGAGTGTGGAAACCAAGGTAAGCGCTGCTGTGCTCAGGGCCCAAGCATGTACTTACCTGGAATAGTTTAAACCCATATTCACACTCCTTGTTGTGATTGAGGGGATATAAGCTCAGTGCTGACTTTAATCAGCGTCACTTCTGACTTACAAAACAGTCAGTAATAGTACCGGCAAATAGTATCATTCAGCTACACTCTAGTTAGTAGTATTATGAATATCAATAGTGGTGGTAACAGCACCAGCCCTAGCTTAAAATAGTCTGGTTCGACACCTACCAAATGTAAGTGAGGGTAGATAGTGCAGTAGTACCCGCACAAACTCTGCTGTCACTAAGGGCTAAGTTTAGGCGGTGTTTCTGGCTGCATTTGCAGAAGGCGGCTTACGCCTGATTTCTGCTCGGTCATCTCGACTTTTTCCTGTCACCGGTTGAAACGAATGAGGGTTAAACATGGGGTAGATGGTGGCGCGTGTACCTTCTCTATACCTGTCCACAGTCACCGTCCCTGCTCTCGGGCAAATGGTGGACATCACCCATTACGGTGGTCGAAGGGAAACTGCATGAACCAACCTCTTCTGACAATAGAGCGCTAGATCCGCTAACTGAATCGCTGCTGCCTTGGCTGTTGTGAACATTCTTTTGTGTCGGTCCTTGGAGTAGTGTGATAGTTGCCAGTGGTTAATCCGAAAGGATACTTTGAGGTCAACTTGTTGGATCGTTTTGCTTAGATGCACGAGATTTAAAATTGAACGCCCTCGAGTTACCCCTTTAAATAACCGAGCAGGTACTTGTTCGCCTACTTTCTTCTCCAGACGCCTCCTTCGGCCAGCCTATCTCGCTCCTCAGGATCAGGTGAATGAATAAATACACATGCTTGCGTCCTGTAACGGCAGTTACTTCTCACCACCAACCATATCAGGCGAGAGTTTCCGAAGACTACTCACAAATTCAGCGCCAGGAAAGCACTGACGATAGGCGTTGTTAACCTTTCTTCTACTTATTCGTTTGGTGCATCTTCTAGAAGGGGTAGTCATATAACAGTCTTTCTTTCCTACACTTGCAACCGCAAGGTTTGTGACACGCTCCCTTATAGTAAAGCGGATGCATTTTACTGGAAAGCCAGCATGTGTACTAAGTTTTCTTTAGTTACGCCAGGGCCTCTTTAAAATTGTCTGTCCGCCTGCACAGAACTGATGTCCTCAAGAGGAACAACATAGTTTTCGTGTTCCATCGAGTTTTTCGCTCGACAAAAGCCACTGGAGGACTCCTTCGAACGTTTGCGTCGTGTTCTTACAATCGAAGCTTTAATTTAACCCAGATAGCACATGTAGTCGTGAAAGCACTGCTCTCATATAAGGCCATTGCTCATATTCGAATGTTCACCTGCATTAAACCAGTCCTTGGAGCGCATGTTTTAGCTTCTTATTATGGCTACCGGTCCACATGCATCTGCGAGTCGGATCCTCAGGGGTTAGCAGACGTCTCATAAAGAAGGTCCGAAGT